GGGAGAGGTACATGGAAGTGTGAGATTCCTACCTTTTAATTTTTATCCTATTGTGACATATATGAATTCTCAAACATGATCTGAATAAATTTTTCATCCTTGGAAAAAAAAAAAAGAAAGAACAAAGCCTCCACAAGATGTGCAATTATATCAAGGGGCCAAACTTATGCCTGACTGGTATCCCAGAAGAAGAAAGGGAAATGAAGGACATCTTGGAGCAAGTATTCCAGAGGTTATCCAAGAAAACTTTCCCCATCTCACCAGAGATGTGACCATTCAAACACAAGCGATACAGAGAATCCCCACAAGACATCAAATGAGAAGACCAAACCCTAGACACATAGTAATTTGCCTATACAAAGTAAGCACAAAAGAAAAAATCCTAAAGGCAGCAAGTGAGAAAGGTCAAACTACCTACTGGAAAAAACCAATCAGAATAGTACCAGAGCTATCAGCAGAAACACTACAAGCTAGAAGGGACTGGAGTCCAATATTCAAAGTCCTCAAAGATAAACAATTTCAACCAAGAATTTCCTACCCAGTCAAGCTCAGTTTCATCAGTAATGGAGAATTAAAATCCTTCCTAGACATCCAATCCCTAAAAGATTATGCAGCTCTACAGGAGTTGCTTAAAAGGTATTAAGCACAGAAGAAAGAAAAAAGAGAATGACTATGCACTTCCCAAGAGAACACCAGAACACAGAATCAATAGAGAATACATTGCAACTGCAAATGCAAATAAACACATATATCAACCCAAAATCTAAAAGAAAACAAAGAAAAAACTATAAGAACCTCATGACGGGGATAAATAATCACATTTCAATAATCAACCTGAATGTGATAGACTAAATGCACCACTGAAAAGACACAGAATGGCAAACTGGATAAAAATAATCATGACCCAATAATTTGCTGCATTCAGGAAACTCATCTCACCACAAGGGATGCACACAGACTCAAAGTTAGAGGATGGAAAATGAATTTCCAGGTGAATGGATCACAAAGGAAGGCAGGAGTCATGATCTTAATATCAGACAAAACAACCTTTAAGCTATCAAAAATTTAAAAAGATATGGAAGGACACTACATAATGATAAAAGGTTCAATCCATCAGCAAGAAATATCCATCCTAAACATATATGCACCCAACACAGAAGCACCAGCATTTATAAACTGACTACTAAGTAAACTTAAAAAAAATTGACTCTAACACTATTATATCTGTGAAATTAAACACCCCACTAACAACTCTAGATGGATCATCGAGGCAAAAAATCAACAAAAATATCCAGAACCTCAACTTGACGCTTGACCAAATGGATTTAATAGATACCTACAGAATACTGCATACTGGATGCAGCAAATTATTGGGTGCAAACACAAACTATACAATCTACTCATCACCACATGGAATATACTCCAAGATCAGTCACATCCTTGACCATAAATCAAGCATAAACATTTTCATAAGTTCAAAAATACTGCCTGCACATTCTCAGACCACAGTAGAATAAAAATAAATATCAACACCAACAAAATTCCCCCAAAACCCACAAATACATGGACACTAAACAACATGATGCTGAACAACTGCTGGGTCAACACAGAAATCAAAACAGAAATTAAAAGATTCCTGGAAACAAATGAAAATGAAGAACCATCCTACCAAAACCTCTAGGGTGCCATGAAAACAGTTCTGAGAGAGGAATTTATATCTCTACAAACGCACATCAAGAAAATGTCAAGATCACAAGTTAACAGCCTAACAAATTACCAACAGAGCTGGAAAGACAAGAACACCAAAACCCTAACATTAGCAGAAGAATCCAGATTACCAAAACAAAAGCCCAATACAGGACATAGAAGACAAAAATATTATAGAAAACATCAACAAAACAAAAAGCTGATTCTTTGAAAGAATAAACAAGATTGATGGAACTCTAGCCAGAATGACCTAGAAAAAGAGAGAAAAAGTCCAAATAAACACAATGAGAAATGCAAAAGATCAAATCACAACTGACTCCAAAGAAATACAAAAGATTATCAGAGATTACTATGCACACCTGTATGGAAACAAATTTGATAACCTAAATGAAATGGAGGACTTTCTGACATATATCACACAACCTTCCAAGGTTGAAACAAGAAGACATTGAGACACTAAATAGACCAATAACAATCCAGGAAATTGACTCCGTCATAAGAAAACTACCTACAAAAAAGAAAAGTAAAGAAAAAACGCCCTGGACCAAACAGCTTTCCAGTGGAATTCTACAAAATATACAAGGAGGAGCTGATGCCAATCCTACTTATAGTATTCCAGGCCATTAAGAAAGATGGTATTCTCCCCAAATCATTTTACAATGCTAACATCACACTGATACCCAAACCAGGTAAAGATCCAACAAAAAAAGAGAACTACAGACTAATATCTCTAATGAACATAGATGCAAAAATTCTCAACAAGATTTTAGCAAATTGGATCCAACAACACATCTCAAAAGTCATCCACCATGACCAAGTAGGCTTCATCCCCAGGATGCAGAGCTGGTTCAACATCCACAAGACCATAAATGTAATTAAATACATCAACAGATATAAATACAAGAATCACATGATTATATCATTAGATGCAATAAAAGCTTTTGATAAATCCAGCATCTCTTCTTGATAAAAAAACACTCAAACACCTAGGTATAAAAGGAATATAATTCAAAATAGTAAGCACCATCTATGATAAACCCACAGCCAACATATTGCTAAATGGACAGAAATTGAAAATATTTCCCCCTGAAAACTAGAACAAGAAAATACTGTCCATTCTAACCCCTCTTGTTCAACATTGTGTTGGAAGTCCTAGCTAGGGCAATTAGACAAGAGAAGGAAATCAGAGGTATCCAAATAGGAAAAGAGGAAGTTACGCTATCTATCTTTGCTGACAATATGATCCTATACCTCGAAAACCCAAGAGAATCTGTCAAAAGCCTGCTTTCACTGATTAAGGACTTTGGTAAAGTCTCAGGGTACAAAATAAATGTACAAAAAGACAGTAGCATTCTTATACACCAACAACAAGCAGGCGGAGAACCAAATAAAAAGCACAATACCATTCACGATAGCCACATACAAAAAACAGCAAGATAGAAAGAACTTGGCATCTTCCTAGCCAGAGAAATCAAAGACCTTTACAATGAAAACTACAAAACATTACTCAAAGAAATCCAAGAAGACACAAACAAATGGAAAAATTTTCCATGCTCACAGATAGGAAGAATCAACATTGTTAAGATGTCCATCCTTCCAAAGGCAATCTACAGATTCAACTCAATACCCACTAAATTACCAACATCATTTTTCTCAGACCTGGAAATGACAATACAGAAACTCATATGGAAACATAAACAACCACAAATAGCCAAAACAATCCTTAGCAAAAGAAACAAAGTGGGAAGTATCACACTTCCAGACTTTAAACTTTACTATAGCCGGGCTCGGTGGCTCAGCCTGTAATCCCAGCACTTTGGGAGGCTGAGGTGAGTGGATTGCCTGAGCCCGCGGGTTTGAAACCCGCCTGGGCAACTTGGCCAGACCTCATCTCTACAATAAATCAAAAATGAGCCGGGCGTGGTAGCGCGCGCCTGTAGTTCCGGCTGCTTGGAAGGCTGAGGAGGAAGGATCACCAGAGCCCAGCAGGTCGAGGCTGCGGTGGCTGGGAGCGGCCACTGCACTCCAGTCTGGGTGACAGAGTGAGACTCCAACTCAAAAAAAAAAAAAAAAACTTTACTATAAGGTTATAATAATCAAAACAGCCTGGTTTGGGTACAAGAATAGGCATAGGGACCAATGGAACAGGATAGAGATTCCAGAAGCAAAACCTCAATTTCTCAACCAACTCATTATAAAGACGCCACCAACAACCACTGGGGAAAGGAGAACCTATTCAGTACATAGTGCTGAGAAAACTGGCTGACCACATGCAGAAGATTGAAACAGGACCCCTACTTATTACCATACACAAAAATCAACTCTAAATGGATCAAAGACCTAAACGTAAAACCTCAAACTATAAGAACCTTAGAAAATATAGGATACACCCTTATGGAAATTGGAACTGGCAACCAATTCCTGATCAAAACCCCAAGTACCCACGTCATAAGAGATGATAGACAAGTGGGGCCTCATCAAAAGTTTCTGCAAAGCAAAAGTCACCATCAAGAGAGCAGGGATACAGCCCACAAAATGGGAAAAATATTTGCCAACTGTATATCTGACAAAGGCCTAACATCCAGGATCTACAAGGAACTCAAACATGCCAAAAGGAAAAAAACAAAGAGCCCCATTAAAAAGTGAGCAAAAGACATGAATAGACACTTCTCAAAAGAAGATATATGGGCAGCCAACAGATATGCGAAAAAGTGCTCAGCCTCACTAATCAACAGAGAAATGCAAATCAAAACCAGAGTGAGATACCACATAACCCCAGTAAGAATGGCCATCATTAATAAAACAAACGAAAACAGGTGCTGGTGAGGATGTGAAGAAGCAAACTAGTGCAACCTCATTGGAAAACAGTATGATGATTGCTCAAATTATTAGACATTCCATATGACCCAGCAATCCTTCTACTGAGAACATACCCAGAGAAACTCAAAACATTCTACAAGAAAGATACCTGCCCATGCATGTTTATTGCAGCACTATTCACAATAGCAAAAACATGGACAACCATATTGCCCATCAAAACCGGACTGGATAAAAAAAAAAT